GCTCCTTTTCTTCGCAAAACAGAAAGGAGAATTCTATTGCCTGAGGGTTATAATCCCTAAGTGCGGCCGAAGGCCGCCTACGCAGAAAGGTGTTCTCTGCAAAAGGTGTTCAGCCCCCCTTCTTCGGCAACACAGAAATAATAATTCTACTAAGTAAAAATTCCGAATTAAAAATCCTCTTTTATTATTCAAAATTCCAGTCTGGTGGCATTAAGTTGTATCTATCTTAATCATCGTTTATATGAAAACTTTAACAATAAATTATATAAGAACTATAGGGTTGCTAGAAAAAAGGGGGGTAGTTTTGAAATCAGGGGGTCCTATTCTACCCCCCCTCATCCCCCCTTTTTCTAGAATTTGCCGTCCGTCTACTAAAATTTTCCCGAAGTTACTATACAACCATGCCACGATCTAAAAATCAAATTTCGATTTGAGTAACGTTCTATTTTATTTTAGCTAACAGGTAGAAACTTCAAGTTCGGACTCGTACGGGATCGCAACGTACTCATGCTTGGAAGGACTTTTTACACAGATTGGTCTGCACTTGGTATCAGCTGAGTTTGACACTGCACATTTGTTTGTGCTCATTACAGGGAAGAAATTCTTCAAATTAAAAATGTTAGACACCTGCCAACGACGTCACATGCTGCTTGGACTCAGCCTGCTAGTGTCTGCGACCGTTGTAGTGCTAATGGTGGAATCCCGTTTTCCGGACAGTGAAACTACTCGGCGCTCGCGTGCACAACAGTTCGTCATTGAAAACAATTCCACTTGCTGGCAACGAGAGGAATATACTGTAATCTTGGAGTGTCATCCCTGTACCGAATTCGATATTATAAGCAAAAGTCTTGGTGTCTGCATTCACACGCACTATAAAGAGGTGCTACGCTGCAAGAGTGGGGAGACGGTGACGCGTAGTTGCGATCGGGTGGCCTTGATTGACCAGCGTAATTTTATTAAATTCGAAATTACATGTTTTATTGTTGGTCTATTTAGCTACTTAGTATCATATGTACGAGAACGTATACTGACAAGGAGAACTCATTTAAAAATCGAACGAAGACTGAATCGCATGCAATAGCATTAAAACGAGGTACATATGTGCAAATCTATAAAATTTACCTATTGTGTCCGAGTTTTAAAGTATAATGCGTACTTATATTTTGCAGCTTTCCATTTTTCGACTTGAGTGTAGATGGTTGAAGATACTAAGGTTTGTATCCTAGTAAAGTTTTGAGATTTGTACGCTAAGTTTCCTAGATTAGTTAAAAGTTATTTTATTGGACGAGTTGGCCTAAGCGAGAGAAAATAGGTGTGTATAACTATTAGAAAATTTTAGTGACGGCCTTTGAAGCAAATAACTGAGGCCATTTTTGGCATCTCTGCTGCTCAGAGTTAGCGCAAACTGTAGGATACGCCCAGGTCTGAAGTTAATTCGAGCTTTTTTTTAAATTTAAACTACTCTTGATACATTAGAAGCGTGGCTTTGTTTTGATTTATGTATAATTTTTGGGCCATTATTAATCTTGTAAGAATAAAACATTGGATTATTTATTTAGTAATATATTGAATAACTTAATAAAAATTATAAGTTTAATAAAAATGTATAGCAAATACAATTAAATGAATAAAAACAGATTATGTAAAAAATGATTTTTTTAACTATAAATATTGCCAAGTAAAATGTATAAAAGATAAATACATGTAATTTAAGTACACTTGAATAACCGCCAATTTAGGATAAGTATGAACATCAAACTAGCGCCGTTCCTCAATCAATCCTTGCGTTAAATTTGCTCGACTGCTATTAATCGCAATACGTTGTCAATGCATCATGTACCTCTTTTGCTAGAGTAATACAATATAATATCGAAGTACATATATTCTAAGTGAATAACTCTAGCTATATCCAATGAATACATTAGGTGCACATAAGAAATTAATTTTGATTGCTCTTCGGCGACTGCTGTTTCTTTTCATTTCTTATTTCACTTATATATTTTTTACCTACTTCCTCCGATCGGATATCAAATCGGGCTCAACAATCGTTGTGGATGCATTGCTTAGCTGCATGGAAACGTTTTCACTACCACCCGTTACGCTCGTATCCATGGAAGCGTCTTCACATTTTGATTCATTGCTATTGCCGTTGGCACTTTTTAAAGAGGTATCCGTCATTGGCAAAGGCTTGGCCACACCAATGCGAACTACACCTTTTGGCGCACCCTTTAGAGCTTGAACTGCTTGATCCAAAGATGCATTTTCTAAATTGATTGAATTGACAAAAAGCAAACGATCACCAGGTATAAGGCGACCGTCTAATTGTGCCACCCCGCCAGGTACCAACGAGCGTATAACAATTAGCGTATCGTTTGGATCTAATGGATCTTGATAGTCCAGTATGGAGAAGCCCAAACCGCGATCGCCCTTGACCAGTTCGATAATCTGCGGCTCGGACGACCACATTGCCAATCCGGTGAGTGGCTCCAACGAGCGTGACTTCAACTTGTTGAACGAGTCGTCGTTGACCGAACCTGCAGTGGCCAAGCTGCCATCGGATTTGGCTTTCACCAATCGATCTGAAGCCGGTAGTAAATTCTCAAAATTGCTACTTAATTTTTTTAGTGTGTCATCTGAGAACGGCATTAGAGCAGTCTTTCCGCGTCCACAAACCATGCGCACATCTTGGGGCAACTCTTTCAGAATAGCCACTACTTCCAAATGATTCATGCCCAGCAAACGTTCGCCATTCACTTCCAAAAGCTCGTCGCCAGATCGAAGTACACCATTTACGCCAACGGGACCATCAGCCAAAATTGAACGAATATAATGATGAGGGCGTACTTCCCGTCCACCCTCAACGTCGACAGTGCCTTCAAGCGATATGCCCAAACCACCAACAGCAAACTTCTTAATTTGAGCGACTATAACATCAACATCGGTACCAACAATTTTTTTCCACTTGCGTATAATCTCTTGCTCGACATCTGGCGCTAGTATTGGATCGGTGTAGTATTTGTGACGTGAAATCAAACCTGTATTCTTAGCGTGCAGTGGTTCCTGGGCAAGAGAATGTTAATTAAGGTACAAAAAACATGATAATGGCTCAACTTACCTCGGCGGCAGCTAACTCACTCTCCGATTTGACAATCGAACCGATAGATACGTCGGTTGGAATAATTTTAGGAGTACCATCAATGGAGTCGCGCACTGCTATCATTTTTTTGCCTGAACCAAAACTACTCAAAGTGGTGGTTTGCACAGACGAGGACGCCGAAGTGACGCCCATAAATGTATCTGGCGCCATATCTGGTGGCAAATTGGTTATGCCATCCAAAGGCGCATCGCGGAGATCCTCCATGGCGTGGGCTGAAGCCAACGATTTGGCGATTGCTGCGGAGCGTTGCGAAGTAACAGGTGCTATTGGCGAAGGCAAATTGACTCTCGATGGTGTCGACGGCATACTCGGTATCTTGTCATTGGCAGCAATGGCCTGCTGCAATTGTTCGTACTTGGGACCACGTAAGTAACGCTCCAGTCGCAGATTAACTACTTGACCCGATTTCTTAAGTAATTCAACCGCCTGATGATTTGAGAATCCTTGCAACGATTGACCGTCCACCTCTATAATCCGATCGTTAACGCGTATACGGCCGCTCATGTCCGCTGCCGAACCTGGCGATACGCTTTTAACAAAGATGCCTGAAAGTTCCTCCTTTTCGCATACATATCCAGCTATGGTGATACCAAGTCCATTAGCATCCTTGGTCAACTCTACTTGCAGTTTTTCCGTTTCGGGTAATGCCAATAATTCCTCAAAATCTATAGTAGGAACGGCCATTGGTGGACGCTTTGAAATGTCGTCCGACCGGTAGATAAAACGATCATCTTCTGTGGTAGTTTGTGGCGTGGAAGCTGTAGAGCTTTCACCAAATATCTCCGGATAACCAGTAGAGATTAAGTAACGTTCCAATTCAACTGGGTCGACAAGTACTCGCGTTGGTACAATTGCACTTCCAGGTTCAAGTGAAAATTGTCCTGGCGAAGACTGCTCCATTGGACGCGCCACTACGAGACGCACGTGCGTACCCGATTGCCGCAGCACTGCTGCCACTTGTTCTGATACCATATCATGCAAATTTACATCGCCAATTTGCAAAATGTGATCGCCTGAACGCAAACGTCCGTCACGATCGGCGACGCCACCAGGCAAAATTGTCTTTACCGTCACACCAGAAGTCCGCGCTCCAATGATGCCAAAACCTAGTCCGGTGCCGTCATTAACTAACTCTATTGCTTGTATTTGCGCATAATCGGCAGCAAAGAGATCGCCTGCAATTTTAGAGTTTTGCGACTGCGGACGACCTTGATCATCCGATTCGATTGCGCACGCTAACCCCGCCGGTGTCAATTGTCCACTTCCTGGGCTGCTTGGTCCAGAATGTGGAGAAAGCGGTGCTGATGAGAAATCATACATAACATCGCCACCGTTGATGCTCAACACCAAGTTGCCAGCCACATCGATATCGAAGTCGTTGGGAAGCATTGATGGGTGTTGCGCCAATTGAGCGTTCAATTCAGATAGCGAATCCTGCACATGTACTATGGTGCGAAATACGGGATCTTGTAAAATATCCAAAATAGTCTTGAGGCTCTCTGCCGTCTGCATTTGCAGCTTTGCATCCTCAGATTCATCGATGCCCTTCTTCACGGCCTCGATCTGCTGAAGAGCACTAGATATGTCTGCACCTAAATGCATTGGAATGTATGAGTGATAACTTTACCACAAAATATAAAGATCAATTAAAATATTTTCTCGCTTTTGTTGCCTGCAATAGCTTGTAAATTGGCGAAATTATAAAATTTTCACTTGTCGATTTGCTTCGCTAATTAAATTACAAAAAGTGATAACAAGTAGGGAAATATAGTGCTGCCATTTTGCTAATAAGTGTTACCAATTTGAGGAAAGATTTTATTGGACTTATTTTTCGTCTTTTGTTTTTATGCATTCTTCTACACACTATTCGTAAATATTTACATAAAATGTGTTGTGAAGCGTTCACACTTTCAGTTATTTTAGAAATAACAGTCGCAATTTTAGTATCATGCAATACGTCTTATATTGCAATCCTTTGGAAGGAATAAACCACTTAACTATTTGCAATAGTTGTTGCATCAAAAGATAGAGAATTAAAATAACTTTCAGAACTATAGGAAAAAAAACTAGTTTAAAATCCATAATATGCCTTTTTTTCAAGCTCACAGTTAACGATCATGAAGCATTCGCAAGTGAACGACAAGTTTTGACAGATGTGTGTGAGCGTACATAAGTCCCCTTTCAAACACGTCAAGTCTTGAAAGCATTTTTTATCGCATTCTCTTTTGTGTTTTCTCTTTGATTCCACACGCATCAAGTTTTATTGAATTCAACTACTTGGTTCTTTAAACGGGAAGCAACGAAGAGATTAAAAGAGAACAAGAAAACTTGAAACGAATTGACGGTACGGAGGTATCTGTACTCTTCCCCTCTCTTCCCACCTCCTTCGCCAATGAACGAGCAGACTTGAAAGCAAGACTTGACGTGTCTGAAAGGGGACTAAGAATACAAATGGAATTCTTTGCCTTTGCGAACCATGGTACAATAAAAACAGGTAGAAGCAAATTTGATGTCAAACTTTCAAAAGTCAAAGTTTTCGAGAGAGTAAAAATAAAAATGAGCGCGTGTAAGGAAAAATAAAAAATTACAATTCCCCGGTTGACGTTTTTAAGTAAATTGGAAGTTTATTTTTATTTATTTATTTTCTTTAGTTAAAATTTGTTAATTTGTTTCTGATACATTGAGTAAAATATCATTGGAATTTTTAAGCATTTTAAATTATTAGTTGCGTTCCCCTACTTTTCTGGGTTAAAACCTGTAGAACTGTCAAAAAGCAAAATAAGCCAGCGGACCGAGTACGGGAACGCTTTCTGGTAAATTCCTGTAAATTCTGCTACTTCTTGCGAGTTAGGGATCGCAACAATTGTGTAATATATAAGACCAATTTATAAATACTGTTATAAAATAATTTTTATGAGCTTGCTATTTCCCAAAGAAAATCAAAGTTCTTTCTGCGTCTGCAGCCGTTTGTTGAGATGTTTCACGCGAAAGTGAATACGACATTTAAAGAAGAATATATCATTTCATTCATTTCTTCATGGAGTTGGTGCTTCTTTTATAGAAAAATGCATACGGCTTATGACCAGATTCATACCATGTAAATGCACCATAAATGATTTTCCATACAAAATCACTTCGTCATTATTTTGCACAAACACATGCATGCGCTGGAAGTGAGAGAAGGAGACAAAAAGTATGTGCTTGTATTTCGGCGTTTGAGTAACAGATGGCGCCGTTCCGGGGACGCATTTATACCCTAATCGTAGTATATGTATGTACATATTTAAGTTGATTGCACTTAATGTGGATTTGTTTCTCCTTCAGTAATCTATCAATGCATAATACGCGAAAACTTTTTGTCTTATCACACCTACTTGGCCTGTAGATGTGCAATACCGTTTTGTTTTTTCAAAAAGAGTTGCCACCTGAAAAAAAATGATTTCAAATTATTTATAAGTTAAATCAATTATAACAATGTGGGTATGTTGTTGTTGTTGTCGAAATGGTTGCATTTCTTAATTACATGTAGGAGGGTTGCCACCTGTTTACAAAGTTAAATTAAATATATGCAATAGTTTAAATAAATTACTTTAATATGGATATCAATCAAAAATGCTTCGAAGAAATTATATTTCCCTCATACTTCTAAGATTTAAAAACTAATTCAACTTGAGTTAATGGAATTATGTAATTCAAATGTATATCACAAAACGGATGTCTGACCAAAAAGGTCTAAAAAAGTTTTAGTTTGAAAATATTTTGAACATGGTTACCACCTGTTTACAAAGTTAAATTTGATGTACACTATTGGTCAAAGGAATTACTACCATATGGGTATCGATCAAAACGGCTTTTAAAGTACTTTATTTCTAAACTGTATGTAGGAGCGTTGCCACCCGTTTACATAACAAAGGTTGACTTAATTTAAGGCAATAAGAAATTTTAAATATGTATCCCGAAATTGGTGTCAGACGACAAGTGATTCGATCTCAGCCGGCTGGTCAAATTTGAATCGATTGGTCATGCGGTTCAGTTCTCTGGCTCGCACTCAATTTTTTCGTTGTGCAGTGAAAGCAACAACAATTGGTGACCAGGGATCATTTGATCGTATGCGTAACAGCGCCCTAATCCCATTTTCTAATTACAGATTAGGGAGGTATTTTACACGAAACAATAAGATTTTCTAACGAAATCTGCTAACTCTATACTCTTGCCACCAGCAGAGCTACCCACCCGGGCATAGGGCGTTTCGCCGCCCCTGTGGAAAACTAACTAACTAGGGATGAGGTTTACTAGGCTTGGCAGTATAAGTTCCTCGCCCCGCTCCAGCAAAACTTCGCGGATACCATCATGACCAGGGTAGGGCCAGTTTCCACTCACATGGGGCTCTCGGAACTCCGTTCTCTGTTTGACGGTAGGGGCCTCCAGAAACTGGGATTGTCTTGTTTCTGTTGTCCCACTTGTTAAGGCTTTGCGTAGTCTTGCAGCTACAGGTATCGAGGCCATACCTTCACAGAAGGATCTGATGCTGCTCCCGACCCAGTACAGACCACAAAATGGAGTGGACTGTCTTAAGCGTATCAGGAGTATTCTCGCTATGTCAGGGGTATTTTCGCTAATATGTATTTTAAACTACTAGGAACAATATTCAGAACGCATTTATTCGCAAAAAATTGGTTTTACATTCGCGCTCGGGCTTTAGTTGGCTAAAGACTGTCCTATCTGCAATCTAACTCTGTTTACGTTTACTCTCATAACCCACAGCTTTGACCACATAGCCCAAGCTAAAATGGGAGGGATTATGAAAAAATCTTCATTCTACTTATTGCAGATAAATGATTTCTTTGAGCACTCCTAACACAACTTCAAATTTTTTGAGCTTAAATCAAATTGAAAATTTACCTCCACTTATTTAATTGTTATTTACGCGTATAACATGAATCGCACGGAACTGGATTATTATGCCATACTGAACGTTCCACGTGATTCACCCAAAGAGACTATAACATTGGCATATCGTAAATTAGCCATTCAGTTGTGTCCACATCGTGATCCGAAATATGAACGCGATTTTGTGCCCAATCTTGGGCCAACACACATGCAAACGCTGTCGTTGAATCGCCAATGGGAATACGTAAATATGGCGTACGATGTTTTGGGTAAGGCGTTGGTTTCTAAAAGGTCTATGGAAAAAATTTTAATGCAATGTGAACTTAATTAAGGCAATGATTTGTATCGCGCCATCTACGACCGATTTGGGGAGGCAGGACTCTTTCAAGGTATCCAACTGCCCAACGGCTACTTCCCACCCTATCAATATCATGGCGATCATATGAAGGTCTATCACGACGTGTTTGGCAGCTACTCACCGTATGCAAATATCATCGATATCGTAACAAATCCACCAGTCCTCTATTCATCATTGGAACATGGCATTGGTGTGCGCAAGAAGGATCCGCCAGTAGAGAAAATAATTTATTTGGAACTAGAAGAAGTATTTACGGGCTGCACAAAATTGATGCACGTCTGGCGCCAGGAATTTATCGATTCCAAAGAAACGGGCACAGAGAAAAAGTATGTAATTGCATAATAAGTATTTTTATTAAAATTTAATGGTACATATATTTTTTTAGAAAGAAAACTCTCACACTAAAAATACCGTTCGGTACCACCCAAGGTACACGATTTTGTTTTAGAGAGGAAGGTGATCGCAGTCCAACGCAGATTCCGGCCGATATAATTTTCATTACTGCCGATAAGCCGCATCCATTATTCGTGCGCAGTCAGCACCATAACTTGGTCTACACGCATAATATATCCTTAAAGGAGGCGCTCTGTGGATTTAATTTTAAATTAAATACTTTAGATAAACGCGTTTTGAAAATTACTGTTTCCGATGTGATTCATCCGGGTTATATAAAAGTGATGCCAAGAGAGGGACTGCCAAAGTGTGAAAATCAACCAATCGCTCCCGATATGAAGCCCGCAGGTGTGAAGAGAAAAAATTTCGGAGATTTGATAATCAAATTTCAGGGTACGCACTAAAATAGGGTAAAACTCTTAACATTTGTAATGGGATATAGTGATCCTCGGCTATATATAATTCTCACTCTTGTGTCCACGTCCGCGCTATTTGCAGTCTCAGGGCACAGCAGAAACTCTTCAACCGGGTACAATGTACTGGGAACTCTGACGGCTATTCGTCACCCCTAACCACCTATAAGAAAGAGACTAGCGAAGCCAAGAGAAACAATTTTTTTCGGCCAGACGACAGCTACATAACAAGCGAACAAAAAAGCGTTCCAGTCCTGCCGACCACCCACGTCTCAGGGCTCCGGTAGGAAAAGATATCGACGACTTTTATAGGCCCGCTAGGGAGCGTCTGACATATGTATGTATATGGTAATCATAACGAAGGGCATATTCGAAAATACCCTCTGTGACATTGTCTTAAGAACACTCATCCTAACTAAGAGATGGTGTGGCACGGTGGGTCTTAACATCAACCCTGCCTCTGGCAGCCATAATCCCTTTTACCATTAGAAAAAACCTTCAAGGCAGGCACCCTATTTTTTACGCTTGGAAGTACAGAGATAGAATTGTGCAATGAAATAAAATATCTAGGGGTAATTTTCGAATGCAAAATTTTATGGAAAAGGCAGGTAGAGTACGCTGTCCCAAAAGCAACTCGAGCTTTAATGGTGTGCAGAAAACTGACCAGTAAATAATGGGGGTGCACGCCATACATCTTGCGGCGGATGCACCCCATGATAATCAGGCCAACGGTTGTGTATATATGAAGCGGTAGCATTGTCCGAGAGGACCGCTCTGAATACAGTGAAGGCATCGCTGTCTAGGCATCAGCGACTGGCGTGTACCTGCATAACGGGAGCCATGTCCACCTGACCCATACATATTCATAGAACATAGACTGCCAACAAAGCCCCCTCAACTTTATGTATGAGGACATTAGCGAGAGAAAGGTGATTTACAGCAGACTGGGAGAGGATATCTCAACCAAGATTCCTATCTCACAGCTTAATCGACCTGGAACGCGACACTTTTAGAAAACACCTTTCGGTCCCACACCCAAAGGTGGCTCCCAGGTGGCTCAAAAACTGACGAAGGTATAGCGGCATGAATATACGGTCTTAAAGCCAATCAAGATCTCCATTCCGTTGGAGGATTATCCTAGTACTTTTACACCGGAAGTCGGTGCTGTTAGCTGTAGCGACAGGCAAGCTGTACGCAACTCAGTAGGTAGCTCAATACCACTTGTTGAAATATTTTCTATTCCAACTCCTGTGCTCACTTCTTTCAAGGAGTTACTGTTTTTGTTATTCAATCTTTTTAAGATAACAATACAAAATGAATTGTAACATTTAAATGCAAGTATTTTTTTATAATAAAATTCGTTTCTTCTTTCAGTTGAGTATCCAAAGTTTATGAATAACAAGATGCGCCAATTGACCAAGAACTTCTTCAAAGAACTGCATGAAATGCAAGAAGAAGCTGAAAACGCACCACACCCGCTGCAAAAACTTTTGAAAAAGAAGTAGACGAAGTAAAACTAAATCAGTTGGAAGATCATAAAGCATTGTTTTTAAATTAGCATTTTTTTATTTTATTTAAATTCAACGTATAAACGTAAAGGACTGTTACGTTTGAATGGATTTGCAATATATGTATGTACTATTTCCATCAATGTTTGTATGTATGTACATAAACGACATATGTATGTACGCAAATATGTACATATGTATGCGTGTGTGTATATTCACATCATACATTTTCTATATCCATATTTGTCTGATTACATATTTTTATATAATTATTTTTATTTATTTTTGTGAAGTATTTAAATTCAAAATGTATGTATGTATATAATTTGACTGCACTGTTTAGGCAAATAATTTGAAATTTTTTCTTTACATGAATGTATGTGCACACCCATGTAGTATGTACATGTGTATGTATATGATTTAGCGATCGAACTTTTTATAAAAAAATCTTAATTAACGATTTGTTAAAAATATAGGTATCTATATGTATATTAAAAATTTCCCAATTTGTGTTTATGTATGCATTTGTGTTTGTATTGCTCTGTTGTGTGAAACCTTAGTAGTGTACTTTGCATTATACAACACTAATAATGTGATGTGATCTATAAGAAAAAACAAACAATAAAAAGCCTGTGCAAAAAAGTGATTTATCTCAGCCAAAGAAAGGAGAAACATAAATTTTTTACATATGTTATTGAATTCTACATTTCCGAGTGAACAAAAAAAAATTAAGGCACTTAAAATTTTCTGTAACATTAAAAAATAAACTCTTATGCTGAATTGGCACTAGGTATTAAATGGCAACAATTGTAATGGCAAAGTTGGGAATTCAAAAAAATTCGAGCCATTACGTTAATGAAATAATCATTAATTCATTTCCACCTGGCATTTTTAAAAAGTCTCAAATTTTTGGTCTTTTCAATGCCTAGTGGAAATTCGGCATTAGAAAAATAACAAGCAGCGGAAGTGTAGTTTTTTAAGATATCATAAAGTTAAGCTACGTATGTAGGTGCGTGAATTTATTTTCGAATAAAAAAAATATTAATTAGATGTTAAAGATAATTTTGTTTTTTTAATTTTAAAAAAACAAATCAATTCTACTAAAACTTTTATGATCTATGCTAGTTTTTAGTTGTGTCAATTTGTATGCAAGTCCAAATGTACTATATGTGTATTTGTAAAAAAATTAGTTACAAAATTCGTTTAAGACTTATACAATTATGTACATACATTAATACAAAAAGTATGAACATCAAATAAACTTACAAACGACTTAAGTCTTAATTATTAAGACTTAATTATTTATTAGTTTTTTTTATTTGTAAAATTTTTGGGTTGAATTTTGTTATTATACGCGTGTAAATAATAATATTTTTACACATACGAACATATGCAACTGCAAGTCCTTAATTTACATCAATATTCACATAAATTTGACTACTTTAATTTTCTAAAGAACTTGGAGTATTTTTATTTTCAATAATTAAATTTTTAAATGGCACATTCATGTTCATATTTATTGTTTAAACTTGTGTGTTTAAAAAGTTTGCTTAAATTTAATTGCTGCTTTTAATTCAGTTAGCTTACTTACAAACATATTCTGTTATACATATCTACTTATGCATGTTTTTATTTTATTTTTTTATAGTTTTGTGATATACTTTTATACATACATATTTCCACACGAATTTTATTTAAGACTTTAAAAAACGTATTCTTTGTTAAATTTTTATGTTTATGCGAAGTTGATAATTTTTTTATTGCAAATAAAGATAATTCGAAAATTAAAATAAACTGTACAAACTCAAAATAAAATTAAAGAATAATAATTATGTAATAATAGTTTAGTTCCCGTATTCTGCCCGTGGAAATCATACAGCAGTAAATTTCTGGCGAATTGTCACAAGTTCTCTCTCTCTCTGTCTCTGATAGAAATATTCGAAAAAGTACGCAAAAACATTGCATGTTATATGAACAGCCGATTGGTCTGTCGTTTACATCCACAAGCACGAAACAAGAAACTCGATTTTCGCAATCACTGAGCGATTCCACATAGACACTGGATAGTGGCATCCATAAAACCTTTTCTCTGTAAGCCAGTGTTATCAGCAATGCACCCGTTGTGTGGTAGAACAGATTCTCAATCGAATGCTTACCAAACTTTAAAAAACGATTTCCGTTAGCTTTACACGAATTTCCCTACCAAACCTGGGGCTGCTTTGGATGCACTACTAAACCTACTATCAACTAATGTATGTGATGTGATGATTTGTTACATTTTGGAGTGAGACAGAAAATGTTAGAGGCAGAGAATTAGAAATTAATTTATATTAATATCACAGAGTATTAACACCATTGCCTCTGTTAAAGAGATTACTATAATGTGGAGTTTCCTGCGGCTGCGTCTTGGCCTACCATATTGTAGAATCTTCACCGATGGTTACGAAACGGACACAGGCTCAGAATCTGGAGTCTATATCAGTTGTAACGGGAACAAACTTAATCTCTCTCTTGCGAAATATGTCTCGGTATTCTAAGCAGAGGTATTTGCAATCCTAATAGCCATAGACTTTGAGGTGGAGAATAAGTAATGCAAGTCTTAAATTAATTATGTTGGGAGACTCAGTAAACACAAGAAAATTTTATTACAATAAATAATATAAAAAAAAACTTTTTAATATACAACGCTTTTATAAATGGACTAAAAAGTAGAAAATAATATTTCTCGTCCCATAGAATTTGTTTTGATATACTTTTGATTTTGAAATTTTAGCAAAAGTCATTATAAACAATCTATGAAATTGAAAATGAAAAACGTGGAGCGCATGCAATACAAAGCATTCGATTTAGTTGACAATAGTCAAACTACATAACGTAGACCTAAAATTTCTACAGCGAAAGTAGAACTTTGAAATCGATTTTAAGCGGTCGTTATTCATATACCCACATACATACATACATATATTACTTTTCATATCAATTCAAGTGTATTACATGCGCCCCACGCTTTTCATTTTCAATTTCATAGATTGTTTATAATGACTTTTGCTAAAATTTCAAAATCAAAAGTTATCAAAACAAATTCTATGGGACTGAGAAATATTATTTTCTACTTTTTAGTCCATTTATAAAAGCGTTGTATATTAAAAAGTTTTTTTTATATTATTTATTTTCTACTTTTTAGTCCTGTCTGAAAAAAAATTTTGCAATAGATATTAAAATAATTCAACGATATTAATAGAAAGGTGCAAACACATGCATTTACATATGTATGTACATACAAACGAGCACCAATTAATTTTATTTAAAGAAATGGCGTGTCGTCTATTTCCGCTGTAGCAAACATAGTACATAGGGCGACATCTAGATATCATCTACCTCACCCTATTCACTACAGCTGTCGCCCTATGCACTATGCTTTTTTATAGGAACATTTCAAGGCTTTGCTTTGGTGTCGGACACACAACATTGAAAGTTTCTGGATCCACAGCATTGAAAGTTTCTGGACCCACAACATTGCAAGTTGATAAAAGCGTTGTAAAATCAGGCGACTTAAGGAAGGATTCTAGACCTCCTGTAAGACCGATAACCCGACCATGCTTAAATTATGGAATGCCAACCACATTGGAAGTAGTGCAGAAGATTGATCTGAATCCCAGTCGATGGCGAGAGGAGTCCATGAGCCGCCGTACCGAATACGACGAGGTACGAATAGTAATTTCTTGGCTGATGAAACCCAAGCTGCTGGAGCTGTCGGCGCCCCAGCTAAGCTATTCAAATAGAGTGACGTAGAGTTGATAAGGTGCTTGCATCAACTCGTATGTAGAAAGTCTGCTCTGCCTAATCCACAAGAAAAGCTGCCCTGCCATATGTACCAACTACCGCGGGATCAGCCTTCTAAACGTTTCCTTCAAGTTCTTATCGAGCGTATTGTGTAAAAGGTTAAAGCCCACCGTAAACGAACTGATTGGGATTTATCAGTGTAGCCGTGGCTCTGGTAAATCCACCATATACCAGGTATTCTCCGTCGCACAAACGCTCCGGCTTTAAAGGTATTAAACGCGGAACCTGCTGATGAATGATCCAGTGCAGGAGCATTTGACTTCACTTGGAATTTCTAATCGGCGTCAGTTGGTACAGAGGAGAAACGAAGTCGCTTAAGCAGTTATAGGCCATAAAAGATGAAGAATAAAATCATTTGGCTAGAGAGGGCTCAGACCAAGCATTCCACGCCAAATCATAGATCAGCTAAGGTGTTGTGTGTAAAAGCGTTGAACTCGATTTGGCAAAATCCGTATGCTCTCAATTCAGTTTTGGCAGACTTACAGCCTTATTATCTATCTCGAACGATTCGTCTGCAGAGAAAGGCCTCAAAAATTAGTCCGGCGGCATAATTCTAGCCGGTTTAAATGTAACCGAGACGATTGCAACCTAATCGACGTAAACAAAACGAAGATGACCGATAGCGTAATAAAATTGCAATCAGAGACGATGTCAGCTGCAGACGAATCATTCGTGCGGCATATCGTTCGAGATACAAAATAACTAAAAACTAAAAACTAAATATAATTATACATACATACATACTATTTACATATCGTCGCTACCATGTCAAACTATTGAATGTGCTAAAATGCTATTTCATTTACGATATCTTGCGCATGCGCTTAGAATAATACGTAAGTTGGCAAATCTTTGAATTTAGTCCTCTTGGAAGCAGAGGACACTTTTTTCTAATGACAACAACATTTTTTACAACAATTTTTTTGCTCTCCTGAAAAGTACCCATTTTCACATTCAATAGTTTGACATGATAGCTACGATATATAGAATTCATATTTATATTATACATATTACTTAATTTTAATTCAAATTTCGATTTACTTTTAATTTTGTAAATTGATAAATTGTATTTTTAGTTCTTTTTACATACATATTTACCTCAAAATTGTACTATTGCATTATTCGGTTTGTTTTGATTTTAATCCTTTGCTAATTTTCAAATTTTTTTTGTGACAAGAAACAATTTGTGTATGTGTGTATGCACGCAATTTTTATATTTTACATAGTTTTTTTTACCGCTAATACATACAAATGTATTCGCCCACTTACATTTAGGATAGAAGTAAAAAGTTATAAATACATACACACATATATATGTATGTATGTATCTAAATAGAAATATGCAACTTTGAATAATTTTATCATAAATTTTGTAATTTTGATCAAAAATTTGGTTATGCTTCCTATTTATTTGAACTGAAGAAGACGTTCCAGAATTTTGTCCGAAAAGGCACATATATTAACCGTTCACATGACCACTGCTGTATGTTTAAATTACTTCTAACATATACATACGTATATAGTATATAATATGTACATACTTACATATTTCTGCAACTAAGCATTTTGGAAAAATGTGTTTGAAAATTGCTCATTCTTTGTTTTTAACTACAAATATTTACTACTTTATTTAATACTTGACTTACGTTACTATATCTCAATAACCGTTACAGCGTATGCCACTAAAGCTGCCATTCATCCGCCCATAACTATAACCCAATCTATCGTACGGAGAGCCATAGGGCGTTCGAGCACTCAAAGGCATTTCATAAGGCGACGCAGGGGAGCCACTACTCGCTGGAGCGCCACCGTATTCGTAAGGCAAGTCATAGGGAGAGGGCGCGCGGCGGCCATACAACCACATGTCACGATAGCTGTTGCCGCTATTGAGCGGGTACGGAGGATGCGCTTGACCTCTGTAGTATGGGTGAGTAGCTGGCAGGTGCTGGTGGGGATAGTTGGCATGCAACCGTTGTGTGTGATAGCCGCTATTGTCCGAGTATCTACGACTGAAATAATCGTGTGATGCATATTGCTGTTGCTGTTGCTGTTGGTGTTGTTGCTGCTGTTGTTGATGAATTTGTTTAAGCTGCAACTGTTGCTGTTCATGTTGCATTTGTAATTGGTGTTTTTGTTGTTGTTGCTGTTGCTGTTGCTGCTGCTGTTGATGCATTTGTTGCAATTGCTCTTCGACATTGAAAGATTCGTAGGTGTCATTGAAACTATGACAATCAGGCGGACTTAATAGAAATGTTTCGAAGAAACGACCGATTTCTGTGGAGCCAAAAGCTTGCTGAAAGCCCGGCAAGGGTGTCATATCCTGTGGATAAAATTAGAAATTAGGTTGACTTGAATTTCTTTAATTCGCAATGCAATGCCTAACTACACATATATATGTATTTAGATACATACATATGTATATCACCAATGGCCAAAATAAAAGAAACGCCTTATTTTAACCAGGTTTGGCTATATTTCTTTTCTTTATTTAATATTTGTTATTTCTTTACTAAAGTGCAGAGCAAAAATTATAAAAATTCTGCAAAGGTGCATCAAAATTCTCAACTTGTTAATCAGATTTTTTAGAATTTTTTTGGGTATGCAGTTATATAGCCCATTTAATTTTAGTAAAGTGTAAAACATAGGTTTCTAAAAAAACCCGTTGATTTTTGCTATATTTTTGTCTGACTGTATAAAAAAACTGTCGAACATACCGAGCCCTAACCGCCAAAATAACGTAAGCGACACTTTTTTCAAAATTTTCTTTTTGATGCAGAAATATTCCTAGAGCATCTAGATGCATTTCTGCATCAAAAAGAAAATTTTGAAAAAAATGTCGCTTACGTTATTTTGGCGGTTAGGGCTCGATACTTTGTAAGGGAAAAAATGCGGGGCTAAAAATTTCCGAAAATCAACGCGATTTCTTAGCAACTTTAAAGTTATACCTTTTTATACTAAAATTGAATTGGCTAAAATAAAAAACTGCTTACTCAAGAAATCTGACGAAAAAGAACTTTGAGAACTTTGATGAAACTTTTCAGAATTTTTATAATTTTTGCACAAAGTTTGAAATATGAATTTATATGATCTTTGTAAGATATTGAGCTGCAGGAAATGTCAATTGGCCCCGCTGCATCCCCTTTCGATAGTTCCTAACTAGTCCAAAATTCTCTTGTTCCGAACTAATTCTAAAATCGACGGACGAAAGAAAAAGTGTGTTGATTTTTCAATCTTTTCGGTTCTTCCACTTTTGCAATTATTTTCAAAGAAATGTGTTTTCAATTTGAAACTAAATTTGTTTAAATAATTGTAAGAAATGTACGTTTACATACATTTGGCTGTAACTGAGTTTGCAGAGGTGCGTGCTGTTATTGGTTAGACTCCCAAGATGTTAAAATGTTAACACAAATTTTTGTTTTGTATTACCAAGCTATGAAAAGGAATCTGCGAAGTGCAGAATGAAAGCGTGTTTAAACGAAAAAGCCGCCAAACACATATCTATGTAAAGTAAACAAGCCCCCCGCTGCATCCCTTTTTCGATAGTTGCGAACCAGTTCTAAATTCGCCACCTTAGATATAGATTTCTATTGAAAAAAGTGAAATAAAATTGTTTGTTAAAAGAACCACATTTCGCTGATTTTGAACTAATGGTGATCTAGTTGCTTTTGGACTAGTTCGTTTTTGGCGACAAAGATCTAGTACGGAACTAGAAATTTGATTTACTAGTTGGCGGCTTCCTTGCAGGGAAATAAGGCGTTTCTTCTATTTTGGCCATGGGTGTACAATAGGGTGGTTCAAAAATACAGACAGGGGAGAAAAAAGTTTAAAATTTTAAGCTCTCACCCCTAGTATTTACTAAAAGACAGTACCCAACTTTTATTAAACCATTTTTAAATACTAACTATTTTTTATAGGTCCCCCAAAATCTCCAAAAAATGCAATGGGAATACCCTCAAAAATCGGTAGATTAAAAAATTGGGTACTATTTCTGGAAGCAAGTTTTCCGATCAAAAAATATTCATTTTCAGGAACACTACCTTTCTACGAATAAGTGTGTTTTGCCCATATAAAATACACCCAAAACTTCATTGACTTTGAGGCAGTTCTAAATATGTTTTTTTTTTTTAAGAAAAAAAGAAGGGTATTCTATTTTCCATTTAAAAATATCTAGGGGGTGAGAGGTTAACATTTTAAACTTTTTTTGGGCCATTCTAGTGTACATACTATGTACATGTCTATTCAATATACAACTATTCGTAAAATGCCTACCCGTTTGTCCTTGCCACCTTCGCTCGCCTCCACTTCCTCATTGTCTTTCTGCCATTTCCCAGGCACAAGGTGCGTTTTCCGTTTCGATTTTTTGCTTGGTATCAAATCACCTTCCATTATTCGACTTCTATTCGTGCGTATTGTTGCAGCTGCTGCTGCTGCCGCTGCCGCCACTGCTGCCGCCGCTGCAGCAGCAGCTGCATTTGTAGGTGGTTTCAATGGTGTCGCTGCTGGCAGTGCACTATATGCAAATGTACCCATATTAGTAGTGTTGATTGTGGGATTGTAATCGACTGGCGAGTTCTGTGGAGGTGCTGGTGGCACAGGTGGAGATGGTAATTCGTATTGATACAACTGTGTGTGTTCGAAATTCAGGTTCTGATGTGGTGACTGCGGCGTTGATGATGCCCACGCTGCATTAATGCTGTTCGAGAAATTAGTTTTCACATTTTCAGTGTTTTGTGTGATTTCTTCTATTTCTGTTTCTTTTTGCTGTCGCAATTCTGTGTGCTCCTTGCAGTCGCTTTTACGTTCTACATTTTTTGATGTACTCTAAAAAATTAAGGGAATGCATGAAATATAAGTTTTTTTTTTATTCTCTATAGAGCAATATATTGCGTCTAAATAGTAAATATAAGCACCGTTAATTATTCTTAGATAGGGGCCGTAAATTATATTTTTGAAATAAACATATGTAATTGAAATTTGATTTCTATTTTTTCAATCATATTGTGTTGTAATGATACATTTTTATCCCGCTTTTATTAACTTCATTTGGAACTATGTAATTTATGCTGTGCCTAAAAGTATGCAGCAATTTAAAGTTTTAAGGACATCACACTAAGTGGCAGCGTTGCCGTCGATACCGCTAATAAGGGCCAGTTTTTCCGTTGCAGTTTAAGCTTAGATCACGTAAACTGAGTTTAAATTCAACAGCTGGCTGACATTTGATTCGCTAATCTTAGTTTAAACCAGCCAGCTCGGGTGTTTAATCTAAGTTTAAGCCACAGCTGTGCACTGAAAAACTGACACTAAGAGAAGACCACTCTCCAAGGCGAATTAATATAAGGTGATAGCAGGAGTACAAAAACAAAAATTTACATGTATTTTGTTTTTGCTTTGGCGGCATAAACTGTCAAAATCTGTAAGTGTGTGTAGAAATTCAAACAAAATTTTTCAATTTGATATAAGAAGCCGTGCGGCGAAACACATACACAAAATCAGCTGAGCTAGTAACACCACCTTATATAAATTTGCCTTGCCACTTCCCAATTCCGAGTTCAAAAAGTTCCACAAATGATGGACAAATCAATCTTGAATTTCGATCACAACATTGTATGTGAATTTAAATAATATTATTTACAACTTTTATCTTCCAATCTAAAATTTCGAAAAAATCCCCTTGAGAATTGCGAATGCGAATGCTAAATTTAATGCGCTCCGCGGCTGCGAATGCAAAGATTCGCAAAAACCCTGGTATGTATGCATAAGCATTAATTTCAAACACTTACTAAATGTAAAAATTACTCATACGACAAGGAGTCTTGGGTTTTGCAAAGGTGCTGATCCTTAGTCCTATATGATGATATGTTATCATCTTAACTATGACACAAAAAGAAGATATGTAGTTCCATTGTCACTTTTTCGTCGCCTTAATAACTACCTGACAATTAAGCAGATTGGAAGATGTCATGCTACCATACCCAATATCTAAAATCTTTCACATTTTGTTATTAATTTTTGTTTATTTAAAAAGTTTTGTTCTTACAGCTAATTTCACGAAAGCAATTTAGATGAAAAATGATTTTAATTTTTTGAACTTTATATGGAAATTGACAGAAAATAAAAAAAGGAACATCCCGCGCCTTCGTCTTGGTCTGCAGGCTGTATCGGAGAAACGGCCACTAAATTTAAACGTAGAATACGTGGTATGGTTAAGAGCATATACAAGTCAAAAACGAAAGCACACATTCAATAAAACCATCGATAAAAAATCAATGAAAATATCGATAATAATATCGATAGCAAAATCGATAAAAATATCGACAACAAAATCGATTAAAATATCGACAACAAAATCTATAAAAATATCGATAACAAAATTGATAGCAAAATCGATAATAATGTCGATAACAAAATCGGTAAATATTGATAACAAAATCGATGAAATTATCGATAACAAAATCGATACTTAAGTCGATAACAAAATCGATTACAAAATTGATAACAAAATCCATAAAATTATCGATAACAGAATCGATAAAAAATATCGATAACAAAATCGATAAAAATATCGATCATTATATCGATAAGTTCCGAAAATATCGATAGCAAAATCAATAACATTATCGGTAAAAATTTCGATTACAAGATCGATAAAAATATCGATAACAGAACCGACAAAATATCAATTATTATATCGATAAGTCCCGAGAATCCCGAAAATCTCTAAAATCCCGAAACAGTTACCAGATTGAGTCTCTGTGCATCTATCTATATCCTTTTCTCTTTAATTACCTTTATTTTAATCTTTCTTCCTCTATCTTCATCTATACTTTTATCGTTATCCTCATCCTCATCTTTTCCTTTATACTTATCTTTGCTTTTATTGCGCCATCTGTTTATCAAAAGCTGAAATATGTACTTACGCACACATATGTATATACTTTTTGTCCCCTTCCTCACTTCCAACGCATGCACGTGTTTGCAAAATGATGACGAAGTGATTTTGTATGGGAAATCATTTATGCCCATATATTTGAATCAAATAAACATACTTAGAAGATATCAACCAATACTTCCCATACACCAAACGAAAGGAAAACTCTTGAATTTTTGATTAAAGAAAATAAAAACCAAATCATTCGAGCGGTTTTCGAGCATTTTAGTAATAAAAAAATTTGCAAATATTTGCAACAATTTATTGCCTTAAAGTGCTCAATATTAGTTGAATTTATATAAAATCTGTACACGATAATATTTTTATTGCTCCAAAGAATCTATATCCCGAAAATGAAAGTTATATCTGCAAATCATAAGCTGCTGGAGCATTTTAAAGGCTCGAAATTGACCCCAAAATAAGCCAATGTTTACCGTTCTTTTTACGACAGAAACGGTTACTTACAAAAATGAATATGTCGATAGGTATGTAATTTTATCTTTGAAACGCCATACTTTTCTTTGAAATCGCTTCATTAGTTGTCGTGCAATGAGCGTTTTCGTAAAGCTCTAAAAATTACAACTGCAACATTTCGGCATAGCCTCCATATCGAAACGTAAGACGTATTCTACATACATCAGAAAGAACTAGTTCCGTGTTCCTCACTAAAAGGAATCACAATGCGCCTCGAAAATTCTATCAGAAAATAAGGCAGAAATGAAATGATTTCAATGGAGAGGCTGGTTCCTACAGAGATGAAGAAGGAAATTCTAATTAATCCAATAGAGCGTGCTCACAATGTTGAACGGCGACACCGGAGATATTTATGTCCTTCCACACTACCAAGCCGAAGTTAGAATAGTGGCGCTAATAGGAAGGCAATTGAAAAACAGTGCGCTCTTTCAATCTACCTAGGCCCTGTGCGCGTGAGAGAAGTGTGGAAAAGAATATGGGATGATGAACTGAACACGTTTTAAAGGTCACATGGCATAGTCCAACTGATACAAATACGATTGTGCTGGTTTGGAAATTTCGTATGTATGGTTGACAAAGATTCCAAGCCAAAGCATAGGCAATCTTCTACATCGTGGAGAATAGGGGGCAAGGAAGGAGTTCAAGTGTTTACAGTGAGAGACAAACTGTGAACCTGGCCAGTGCTGTAACTACTTCAAAACTGATACTGAAATGGAAGTCATGACTTAGATATGTAAAAATGTTGGCAGGCATAATGGACTTGTACGAAATTTTCGAGTATGTACGCATAGTGAAGTAGTCACCCACAAGTAAACGAGTATGTTTTGTGTAGGGTAGAGGCGCTTTCAGTTCCGGCCTTAAACTCCACTTTCCATATATGTATGTACATATCGTCGTTTAAAGTACAAAACCGTGTATTGTCATTCTGCAAAACCGCGTAACTGACATTTGCTGCCAAAAATTGGATTTGCTCACACAAGCTCTTGGCACAATCCTTATCCATTCATCCTGAAATATACTAGCCAGAAATGCGATTGCTTTATAAAAAAGAGAACCATTTTTGCAAAATGAGTGTATTTACTCTCCAGAAAAAAAATTTATGCAACCTCACATACGCGGTTTTGCATTATCTTGATACGCGGTTTTGCACTTTAAACGACGATATGTATGTATAATTTCGGAAACATCAACAACCAAAAAGAAACATAAACATTAACGTGGGCCGAAAATCCGCTTTTTTAGAATTTTGATTGGTCATAGCAAAAATATGGTTCATTATGCTCTAAAAAATATCTGTGTGAAATGTGAAAGGTGTTGGTCAATATCCTAGGCTCGCCCAAGTCCATCAAAGTTCAAGTACTAAAAAAAATAAGATCCATATACCTAATTATGTAGGACTAATACTTTAGAAAATTATTGCAATTTTAGTAAGCAAATGTATTACTTAATTTATTTATTAATTTTTATTTTTTGGCCATATTGAATTTTGATGGACTTAGGCGGGCCTAAGATATTGACCAAAAATTGTCATATTTCACTCAGATTGTTTTTAGAGCATAGTGAACCATATTTTTGCTATTACCAATCAAAATTCTAAAAAAGCGGATTTTCGGCCCACGCTAATAAACATGCTTATATGTATATATGTACATATGTATTCATATGTAGGTATGAAAATGATGTTAACAATGCGAGTGCATTTGAACGCTGTTCAAGTTTAGAAAGTCGTCAATATTCAATGCCACGGTGTGGCAATTCTTCGAACGCCAATGACGCATGCAAGGACCCCAGTCTAACTTTGTACCTATGTACTATGTACAAAGTTTACGCATACACGAATATTAGCAAGCGCACGTGCAACGTAAAGAAAAATATAAACATCAACAGAGAAGCAACAAATATCGCTCAACTACTCAATTTAGTGGCCGAAAGAGAGGAAACCACTCAAATCTTTTGAATATTGCCGGGTTTGAGTGGAGAGGGGACTGTTACTACCCATAACATATATGTAATACTCCTATATTGGCAGTAAGAGCTAGTACCGTCCGAAAACACTACAGTACAGATATATCAATAAGCACGCACGAAAGAAAAAGAACACATACGTTTATAAATAAACATGTACACAACACATATACAAAAACGGCACTCAAGTACACAATACATTGACAAAAATTTTACTAGACTGTCTCGCTTTGATTTCGGAATGCTTACACATTGAGTAGTTAGCTTACTGCCAATATAGAAGTATTACATATATGACCCATAACTGTATAGAGATGCAAAATGTAAGGGAGGTGGTAAAGATGTCCACAAGACATTGTACTCATACCCTGCCGGTAACACCAACAACCGACATGAGAGGTGGCAAGGTGCTAGGTTCGCCCAAAAATTTACAAATGTCTGCTTCGCCATCAATTACTAACTCTACATTTTACATAAATAAAAAATCGATAAATGAATTAATGCCTCAATTTTGGCTTGTCAAGTCTTGCATCCTGTACAGACTGGTATTGCAGGTTTGATTTAAAGTTTGTTTATCTTACCAGCTCGGTAAGCCCTCTCTTTTTACGTTATATGTATCTCCTGATTTCTCCCACGGTTTAACTTGCAATGAAACAAATAGCTGCATGCGTAAACAAAAACGCTGCCGGTCGATAGAGCTCGTCACTTGGTACCACAGTATCCTTCTCAGCGCCACACCTTCCCAATTAAAGCTCAATTCAAATACCGTAATGCAATTTTTTTCCCTGGGAATGCTCTACTCAATTGGCGCACATCACAGATATACCAGCAACTCTTTAGCACCATAAGTTCTACATAAGTATCTGCATGGTCCTTTTCAACGCTTGACGCAAAAGCGCATTTTCGCGGGCCAGGCTAAGAAAATGCGCTTTTGCTCTACTTTTCTAACTACGGAGCAGGCACATGCGTATTTTTTGTTTTAACTATGTAACTATATACATATGTATATGAAATTTTCATTTTTGCATGCATTTTGTTGGTATGTACATTTTATGTAAAAGCTTTGCTCAAGAAATTCGCTGTATCCATGGCGGTGTGTAGCAGTGAAAAAGAAAACAAAACTAGTGGGTATTGAGAGATGGATGCTGGGGTAAGAGCTTTCCGGTAGCATATTTATTTATTTAAAATTTGAAAATCTAGGATCTTGTTGGTGGTGCGTGTATTGAATAAAAGTGCAGTTACGGTAGGTACATATATGTATACGATATGATATTCTGCCAACTATTTTTCTGCAAAAAATGTGTTAGACTGAAACACATTTAGAATAAGCAGTAGGTTGTTATATCTACTACTTATCAGCAACTATAAGAAAACTGCAGTATCCATCGGAATCAATATCGATTGCACCGTGGCGTATGATTGATATTTTCAGGGTAAGTCGCTAATTTGCAAAAAGTTCAAGAAAATCGACTTGTTCTTTAGTATAAGTGAAAATTTCTTTGAAAATTTATTTCTGATAAATGATTTAATACAAATTTTTTTCTTTGCTGTTGTTGTTTCCGACAGGGTTTTTAATACGATGTATTTTGGTTTGTCTCCAAACCAAATTTGACAAGGGTTGACGTAAACTCGTTCCAAAATACATCGATTTAAGAAAAGTTTGTTTTCAATAATTCTCTCGGTATGCTAAGTAAATATCATTTCGATGCAGTTTAAGTTTCAAACCTATGGTGTTTTCGTTTCTAATAAAAAATTTCACCTTTTGATTACCCCTTTCTCTTTTCGTGCTCGATTCTAAAATTAAGGCAAACGGTGGGAAAGTTTTGTGTTCGTTTTTTAAAATGTCAATTTTTTGGAAGGCAAAAAAATGCACATTATCGGCTTTGTCAGGGGTGATGATGGCTGCGCTGAATATCAGATGGTTGCCTAAAACGACAATATTATGAAATGCGTGAGCTAGATAGGGTCAGGAAGGCAAAAACATGCCCTTTTAGGGGGTTGAGTGTAACATCAAACAAATTTTGCACCGTGGAAGGGCGAATATTTTAGTGGGAGTAATAAAAGCGAGCGAATTTTATGATTCACTAATATAAAAACTATGTACATGTATACATATCTATGTATATGTATGTAGGTATTTCCTAAACATAAGTTCATATTCTTATGTATGCTGTTTCGAAACTTACCATATGCGCATCTAAATGGGGAGAATCATTTGATTTTTTTGTGATATTGGCTTCTGGAAGTTGTGCCGCTGGTGAATTAACTGGAAAATGTTTTGTTGAATCTAGGGGTGTACTCGAAGAAGCGGCGCTAACTTCCAGGCGGCATGCAGACACATTTTCCTCCACATAATCTTGGCTCCTTTTATCATCTATAAAGGTATAAACAAGAAATTGAATAGTTTACAATACTTGAAATGTTGCTGTGCAAAGATAATAAATAAGCACACACAAACTTATTTTAAGAAATATCTAGTCCATAAGGTTTTGTTATCATAGACTTAATAAAGAAATTAAGCGTCTTCTTTTAATCGATCCCTAACAACATTAATAAAAAAACAACGACGACAGTGCACTCTTGTCAAAAACAATCGAAGAACCAATTGCAAATTGATCTGTCCGCACTTGGTATTGATAGTTTAACGGAACATATTAAAAAAAGAATATATAGCCGGCAAATAGAAAATCTTCTCCTTTTTTTAATCCGCGCAATGAAAACTGCTCTATGCGCAAAAAAGTAAAATACATACATACGTGGCTATGCTTACATATATGCATGTATGTACATTCCCAAAGAGCTTTTCTTTAATATTCCTAATTGCCCAAGCTTAAGGACTATTTGCAGCTCTCAAGAAAAATCACAAGAAATATTTTTCATTATTTCTGTTGGTTGGAAATGTACTTTGGTTTTGCTGTACATTTTCTTGAAAAATTAATAGTCTAGCATTTTTTCTTGAGAGCTGCAAACTGATTTCAGAAATTTTGATAGAAGAAAAGAAAGAAATCTATTAAGCGGTGACTGTCTGTCCGTCCCTCCGTCTGTCCGTCTGTGCACACGATAACTCGAGTAAAAATTGTGATATCTTGACGAAATTTAGTATGTGTACTTCTTTTCAGCGTAGGACAGATGGTGTTGAAAATGGGGGAAATCGGACAATAACCACGCCTACCTCCCATATAAAGGTATTTTTCACAAATACGAAAACTGCGATATTTTAGTAACTACTGAAGCTCATTCACTCAAAATTGATATTTGCAATGATTTTTAGCATAAAAAAATAAGAATGTTTTAAATTTTTGGAAAATGGGCGTAGCCCCGCCAACATATTGTCACATGTGTTTATATTGGTAACCGATCCACCAATTTCTTCCAAACTGGGCACAGTTGTAGTCCTTGGTATAACATACCAAACGGCTGAAACTTTTTAAAATCGGGCAATAACCAGGTCCACATCCCATATAACGGTAATTTTGAAAATTACGAAATCTTCTATAAATCAGTAAATACTGAAGCTAATTTATTCAAAATTGATGCTTGCAATAACTCTTACGTTGAAAATTTTTGAAATTGTACTAAAATTACGGCCAATTTTCATATAACGGTAAATTTCAGAAATGCTTGGTACTTCTATATTTCAAAATTTAAGGACGCTAATTTTTCAAAAGTGATACTAAAAACAATCCCTTACAAAAGGAGTAACATTATTTGGAATTTTAGAAAATGGGCGTGATACCGCCCACATATGGCTATATAAGTTTATCTAATTATGTCTAACTGAACGTTTTATTGAAGATGTTTAAAATAGGGGTAAAAAAACCCCGGCTTACCATGTAGCGGTAGTTTTCTGAAAGGTGAAAAACATATCGTCGATGATTTTGCAAAACCGACCATCGACCAGTTGCAAAACCGCCCAAATCACCGTTTTAGCAAAAATGAGATTTGGTAACCCAGGCACCGAGATTTATGCATAAAAATCGTTAAATCGTTATTAAAACAACATATTTGTAAAACAATAGCTAGTGAAAATACCGCCTATCAAGGCAATGCCTTTGAAGAATAAACCGCTTTTCGCTCTCCTGTAAAATTTGAGTGCCGTAAGATAGGCGGTTTTGCAAAAACATCGACGATATATTTAATACTTGCGCCGGGTATTTAATGTTCGGCTGGGTCCGAACTTAGACTTTCTTACTCGTTTTACGTTGTTTTTATTGTAAGGCTTACGGAACATAAGCTTTACTAAATTTTTGTATAGAGTTGCAATTCTTTTTAGTGTACCAAAATTATGAAGGCTTTCTGGAAGGTATGATTTCTCTCCAATATTTTGGTGGGTGAAAGACAAACTATGTAGCTATCGATTGGCATGTATACATTTTGTCCAGGCAAAATTTTATTTTTTTGCTCTTGGTTGACACTTTCAAGGAAATACCCATATGGATGTAAGTACTTGTATATTCACTCCTACCTATGTATGTACATATCTTCGTTGCTCATTCATCACTACAGCCTTTCGTTGAGTTCAAAGAGAGCATGGGCGCAACTTGTTGCACAACGCGTGGGGGTCAATGATGTTTCTTGTTTAATATTTTTTTTTGTGCGCTTTCTTTTACTTACTTAGATTCTCTACATTGTACGTGACTGTGAGTTTTCTAACGGAGCGCTCAACATAAGTAAGTACATACACATGATTCGTTTCCATTTAAGGCGCATGTCTTGAGAAATTTGAAGAGAAAAAAAAAGAGCAGAAATGAAAATGAGCGGAAGAGCAGATGGCATGTCCGGCGGAAGAAGCTCATTGGGAAAGAATAGAAAACCAGTGTGCATCGAAAGAAAGCGTCTCTCAATGACATAATGCGTTCGGACTAGA